GTTTTGTTTTGTTTTTTGCTCTGTCTCCCAGGCTAGAGTGCAGTGTTGTCATCATAGTTTACTGCAACCTCAAACTCCTGGGCATGAATAATCCTCCTTGAAGCAGATAATCCTTTGTTATGGGTGCATCCTGTGCATTGTAGAACACTTAGCGGCTCCCTGGCCCCTACCCACTAGGCATCAGTAACATCTTCCTAGTTGTAACAACCTAATATGTCTTCAGAGAGGCAAAATTGCTCCTTTTTGAGGATCAGGGGAGCGTGGCCACCATTGGTCAACTTGGCCACTCACCTGCAAAATCTTCAGCCAGGGAACGAGAATAATTAAGAACCATGCCTAGCACCTCCTCCGGTGAGAACTGCAGCTGCCTGAGGGGAGAGAAGGTAGGCGGAGGCAAGGAAAGCCAAGTATTAACATAGAACAATCATGAACACAGGACAGTGAGGAGCACAACAGGGCTCCTGAGCCCACCTTCCCCAACAAAACACTCACGGGCTGATCTGGAAGCGCACAGTCTGCCTCTCCGGGTCAAAGTTTAGCTCATGCTCTGGGAATCGGGCTTGATAAAGGGCCACATGGGGGTTATCTGCCTGTTTCCCCAAGAGGTACTGGAAGTAACGTAGTGTGGCCTTTGGATTCTTGATGGCCTAAGAGGTAAAAGAGCTGAGTATTAGGCTGCCAAGCCCACCATCACCTATATCTTACATCACTAAGCTTGATAAAGAACCAAATTCCAGGGTCTACCATCCCCTCTCCTCTGCCCACCACTCTGGGAAAGAAGCTGTTAGCTCACCATGCTTGCTGCACTGTCTCCAAAGAATCTTTCATTTTCTTTCAGGGTCACAGTCACTGGAGTTTTCCTCCGGGATTCCCTAAGGAAAAGAGACATTGGGCCCAGATTGGCCTGTAGCAGAATATGGACTAAGGAGGCTCGAGACACACACACACACACTCTCTCTCTGTTACTCAGACACCAAAGTGTGTTGTGGGTCTATGAAGAGCATGCACCCAACTGGAACTCAGACTCACTTGTTCAAGACAATTTCCATGGGCACTCCTGGCTTGACAATGGCCACCTTCATGGATTCACTGCCCAGGTCCACAGACATCACTGCCAGTGTGTCTGGAAAAAAAAAATAGATTTATCAATTAGCCTCCTTCTCCTACCTTCCTGAGCCCTTCTAATCAAAGCATACCACTTCCCATGGAGAAACTAAGATACAACTAAGAAAAGAAAAAGTCTAGCTCCAGCAATTCAAGAGACTTATGAGCAAGGGGAGCCTCAGCCCCCTTTCCACCAAGTATCACTTGCTCATGTATTCTTTCAATCCTTCCTCTGGGCTACTTACCACTCGGGACCAATAGGTCTGCCAAGAGCACAGCTATCACGGCCCAACAGGTTAGCCTCCTCGGCCTCTGCCTCTTGACTGTGGCTGCCATTGTGCCCCTAGGGGAGGAGGAAAAAAAGTCACTTGTAAGTGGATGCCCTTAGTGAAGGAGATAGAACTACATCACTTAACAGAAAAGGTGTAAAAGTCATACCTAGCCCATCCTCAGGCAAAGCAGAGCAGCCTACATCTCCTCCCCTCCCTCCTGATGAGTACCAAGCACTCTCTAATCATCCCCAGAAGTGCCCATACAAAGGCCCAAGCAAAACAGCACGGGACCTCAGCCGTACCACATCCCTAAACAGAGATGATATTAGGACAAGGAGAAGAAACCAGAGAGCCTTTCGGCCACTACACAGGCAGTTAAGTGGCACACCGTGAAACTAAGCCTGTCCTCAAACACCTGGGATGCCGCCAGGGATCTCCGCCCAGGGCCCGACTACTTCCCACACCTGGAGCTTCCCCGCTGGAGGGCAAAGTCAGGATGGACCTGGACGGGAATTGATAGGTGATGACGTTGGGGGTGGTTGGGAGAGAAGGGCCTATCTCCTCCTCCGCATCCCTGAAGGTAGTCCCGCCCACTCCCTGTCCCTAGCCCACTCCCCGGCCTGGCTGTCCACACAAACACTGTACCGGGAGCAGCGAGGTTCCACGCTGGGTGGGTATCGGGTACCCGGTGTTCACCTAAGCCTCGCCTGACGACGGCGGCGGCTCCCACTCCCGGAAACAGATCCTGGGCCACCCCTAGGGCGTGCGGGGCCCACGGTGCGGGGCCCACGGTGCGGGGCCAAGCGCACTGGCGTCCGTGCGGCCCTTACTCCCGCTCCCGACCCGCCCCCGGAACCACCACGCCGCCTCCCCTTGGAGGGGTGGCCGGTCCCCATCTCCATCCCCACGGCCGCTACCTCTTGTCTCCGCTCCTGTGGCCCCAGCTCGGAGACAAACGCGGCGCGGACGTGCCCACGAGGCCAGCAGCGCGCCCCACAACCTGCGCCCTTCACAACTCCCCTCGGTTTGCAAACTGTTACATTAGCCACCAACCTCTCGGCGGCGTCTCGCGCACCAGCCGGCCCCGGACGCGGCGCGCGCTCATTGGAGCCTCCGCCGCGGGGCCCTGCGCCGCGGGCCCGGCCCCGCCCCCGCCGCCCGGCGCGTGCTCCCATTGGGCCACGTTCGGGACCTGCCCCCTCCTCCTACTCCGGCCCTGCCCTGGGGGCGGCCGGGAGGCCAGTCCACCAGTTGGGGGAAAACTGCCGGCTCTGACTGGGCATTGGCCCACGTCACAGGGCCGGCGCGTTCCGCTCCCTCCCCCGCCAGCGTCCGCCCCGGCGCGTCCGCGGGACTTCTTCCGGTCTAGGTGCTGGATGCTTAGCTGCCCGGGCTCTGGAGTGACACGCGCCTGGAGCAAGTGGGGCGCACGGTCAGTCCCGCAATCGGACGGCTCCTTCCGGTTACCTGGCGAGCCCTAGTGAGGAATAGGAATGATGGGTTATCCCCTCCACCGCACGCGGAAGAGGCGCTTGCTGGCTGGTTGATACCGAAGTGGCCTTTGGATAGACGTCAGAGAATGACTCCGCTTCAGGCTTAGTCTGTCCCAAACGTCCTCCGTTTCATTGAGGAAACTTAAGCCACAAAAAAATGTTCGTCGATGGGTCAGAGATAACCAATGTCTCAGTGACGGAATTTGGCTTGGACTGCTTACTCTAAGCCCCTTTTGTATGAGACCAAGCGCGTAATGCTACACACGAAAGATACTTTTATTGGTGAGGCTACACGTAAGTGATTGAGCATACGTGCACTAGCTCCTGTTTCTGTTCCCTTAAACCGTGTATGCCTTCCCTTCTCTAACTGCTTCTATAATAGAATTAAAGCACCTCACTCCTTGTTACCTTACAGCTCCATGGAAATGTGCACCGTCCTTGGAGAACGCACTTGGCTTAAATGTGAATGAATGGACATCGGTCACCTGTTTTCTCTCTCGCTAAATCCACCCTTTAAGAGAGGCTGTCTTGACCACCGGCTATCATGGCGAGGGCTTTGTCAAACTTGGAGGAGCTTTCATCTGTTCCTTTCTCTACACTTTCTTGATGGGTAGGTGGAAAGAGAGTAGTAGGGTGTCTGCTTAGAAGAGAAGCCCATGGGCAGTACCAGGGAGAGTCTATTCTTAAGAATAGCTGTGTGTTTAGGAGTAGAGAAGTTGGTAGAAATAAAGAAATTCTCTTAAAATTTTAACATAACTTAATTACACAAATAATACACACATGTAATGTCAGAAAAAATTCATTCTAAATAAAGCTGAATCTTGACATCAACCACACCTCCCACTCTTCTGGAAGTAACTGCTGTTATTAAAGTGGTGTGTAACCTTACAGGCCTTTTTTCTCTTCACAAATATATGTTTTTCTAGAAGGTTGTAGCTTTCATGGAGAAGCCAGAGGATCACTTGAGGCCAGCTATGAGTGTGCCACTGCACTCCTACCCCAGGGTCTTGCTGGTTGCCCACAGGGTCTCACAGTAAGACCCTGTCTCTTTTTTTTTTTTTTTTTTTT